CCCCCCCCCCACTCCAAAACAAGCAAACACACGATTTGTCCCTTCGCATCAAATTCTCTAAAGAAACACTTATTCCAGTAAAATGAATAGGGCAAACCATAACATATCCAATATATTATACATATATATATACAGGGTGGGCCAATAAAAGTGAGAACATCTCGTAGCATATGAGTTATTTCAAAATATAATTTAATCAATTATAATTCTTCATGGATTATTTTTTTTTTTTTGCAAAATATTTAGCTAAGCAGAAATCATGTTCAATTTGTCCTCCTTGCTGCTCAACTATTGAAGCTAGTATGGGTATAGTTAAACTTAATTTGATGTGATGTTCTTATATGTATAGCTCTGTCATATTTAGTGGCAAATGCAGTACAGCAAATGTCACATTTATTGCGTTTCTTTTCTGTATGAGTTCTTATATGTATAGCTCTGTCATATTTAGTAGCAAATTTAGTACAGCAAATGTCACATTTGTTGGGTTTCTCTTCTGTATGAGTTCTTATATGTATAGTTCTGTCATATTTAGTCGCAAATTTAGTACAGTAAATGTCACATTTGTTGGGGTTCTCTTCTGTATAAGTTCTTATATGTATAGCTCTGTCATATTTAGTAGAAAATGTAGTACAGAAATGTCACATTTGTTGGGTTTCTCTTCTGTATGAGTTCTTATATGTATAGCTCTGTCATATTTAGTAGCAAATGTAGTACAGCAAATGTCACATTATTTGGGGTTCTCCTCTGCATGACTTCTTATATGTATAGCTCTGTCATATTAAGTAGCAAATGTAGTACAGCAAATGTTACATATGAAGGGTTTCTCTGCAGTATGGCTTCTTTTTGTGTTGAGTTAAATTAGATTTAAAAGAAAATGCGGCATGACAAATTTATAGGGTTTCTTTCCAGTATGACGTCTTGTGTGCAAAACTGTTTCATATTTAGTAACAAATGCAGCATGACAAATGTCACATTTAAAGGGTTTCTCTCCTGTATGTCTTCTTGTGTGTCGAGTTAAATCTGATTTATTAGAAAATGCAGCATTACAAATGTCACATTTATAGGGTCTCCCTCCAATATGAAGTCTTTTGTGTTTAACCCTTTCATATTTAGTAGCAAATGCAACAGAATAAATGTCACATTTATAGGGTCTCCCTCCATTATGAAATCTTTTGTGTTTAGTCCGTTCATATTTAGTAGCAAATGTAGCAGAGCACATTTTACATGTAAAGGTGTTTTTTTTTTATCTACTCAACAAATACACATTTAAAAAAGAAATCTACAACCGCACAGTTGATATTTTGTTTTCTTGTTCATCGTAAACATGGCGCACTACTCTTTTAAACAAAAGTTGCCAGATCAATGTTCTGTCTAAAAGCCATAAAATAAATAATAATAAATTATATTAGTCGACTTAGTGTACAAAATATAAAATGTATGTGTAGAAATGTACATGAATTTGGACCAAATAATATAACAAAGATTATGTTTCTAGAATGCATGGCTGTAACGACAAGTTCAATAGGCGCTCAAATAAAATTCCCAGACGTTAGCACAAGTTATTGCTTTTTTATAAAGTGCGTTGGCGTTGCATGGATGCATGTTTTATCAACCAACGTAGATGGGAAAAACTCACGCATTGCGGGTGCCATTGTCTGGCACTAATGGGGATTCTCATGAAGTGCGTTACTTGAATTTGAATGTGACTTTTTTGTCTGGTGACTTGAACAGATGGCAAGCACACGCAATGCCACCATCATTGCTTGGCGGGCTATGTATTGTACTTTTATCATCAGAATGGATCAATTGTAATTACAGATAAGGTGGCCAGGTGTCCACTATTGGACAATCCGCTTTTTTTTCACATTTGTTTTCACTATTTTTTTTTTACAAAATACATTTTTTAAATCAAAAGCTTTTTGATGAAATAAAAAAAAATACACATGATAGCAAATTAAATGTAATTTAATATTTTACAAATTATTATAATATATCTGATGTTTTGAATTTTAAGTAGAGTTTTGAAGTGATTTTTTGATACGTGTTAAAATTTTTGTAAGAAAATATATAATTTAATTGTAAATTTTAAAAATATTTTTTTTACTACTTAATGCTAACCCCCCCCCCCCCCCTTCCCCCCCCCTTGTCCGATATTTTTGGAAAAATGTGTGGCTTTAGAATCGGTAACAAATGTAAAATATTTTAAATATGCCTACAAATAAAAAATAATAGTTAAATAAGGTTTTATATAAACTATATAGATCTATGCTTAGATGTAGATGTCAGTGTAATATATCTGTAAGAAAGCAATAGTTCTACTTTTTTTCTCGTAATAGAACCGATAAAATTCAGCTTATGTCA